CTTACTACATCTAAAAAAATTAAAAATTAATCTAAAATAATATAATAAGGAATATAGAACGTAAAAACGCTGTAATAACCCGCTATTCTGTTTGTAGGTCTTCCTGCATTTTTATTGGCTACGCGTTCAGCCGCTCATTTTTTCAAATACTCACTCACTAACGATAACGCTAGCCATGTATGTTGCTGAGCATGAGGGCTGCATGTGAACAATAAAACTTAATCAGTGATTTGTTGCCATATGGCAATGCTTTCTAAACCAAAAAGGTCCATTTTCTGTTGACTTCACTGGATCATTTTTACTAATTTCTTGAAACATGTTTCGATTTAAGTGAACGTCTAATTGGTTGATGGCAAATGATAGATAACCGATTAAGATGGTGGCTTTTCCTTCTAAGATTAAACACTTAAAACTCTGTGCTGATTGGATTTTAAGATGCAATTTTTTTTCTCGACTCCATTGAGACGTATAGACAGTATAGCGAGTGCTGCATGAAACATTCCGCAATTTGAAAAAGACCGGTAATCACTCGCAAACCAACATTGAGTAGGGTTGCAATACTGTTTATCATGCAGTCCAATTTCAATTATTTTCCTTCACGCTAGAATGCCAACTCTGTAATAAGCTTCTTTCTGACCGCTGCGAAAAAGTTGATTCTGTAAAATATGACTACTGAAACAGTATGCATTTTTATCATTGATTTTGCCTGCCTTTATAAAATCAAATATATTTTATGTAAAGCATGCACGAAAAAATCCTCGCTCGTTCCTATTTGATTGCAAAATATGCTTTTTCAAGTTATATTCTTAAAGAAAGGGTTTCCTTCGGTTAAATAAATTATAATTTTGAGTTTGTTTACGACTGTGCGGTGTCCATTCATAAAACATCATATCCGTCAGTTTATTAATGCTGCTCCTGATATAAACAGCATGATCCATGTCTATTGCAATAGTTTATGAGAGCTATGCAACCACTTCCTCAAAACATAGGCAAGAACGTACTTTTTTCGTAAACAGGATGAACACAACATTCAGTTTGTAAGACTTGAATTCTGTTCTAGTAGTCGATAGCTTTCAAAATCATTCGGCAATTTAGAAACTTTTTATAAACGAAGGAAACCCTTGGCTTAAGAATAAAATTAAAAAAGGCGTAATTTGCTATCAAATAAGTACAAGAGTGTTTTTTTGTGCATGCTTTACATAAAATATATTTGATTTTATAAAGGCAGGCAAAATCAATGATAAAAATGCATACTGTTTCAGTAGTCATATTTTACAGAATCAACTTTTTCGCAGCGGTCAGAAAGAAGCTTATTACAGAGTTGGCATTCTAGCGTGAAGGAAAATAATTGAAATTGGACTGCATGATAAATAGTATTGCAACCCTACTCAATGTTGTTTTGCGAGTGATAACCGGTCTTTTTCAAATTGCGGAATGTTTCATGCACAGCACCCGCCAAACTGTACGTTGATATCTACACAACGAAGCCACATGAACGAAAGGTTAGCCCCACGCATTAGGATCAAATTTATTTTTAAATTAAATATAGTATGTTACAGTATAATTCAAAGAAATGCTAATGCATATATTCTAGCCAGCCTGGGAAAAAATGTCTTAGTTTAATAAAAGCATTCATAAGTTGTCATATATAAGTATTTGACAATATCAGCATTTTCATGCCTTTTTGCATGAACCACTGTACTATGTGACAAATATTTGCTGAATATGTCGATTGCTTGCATAGGGAGATGCAATTTCTCTCTGTATGCACGGAATCCCTTTCCGCAATAAGACGGTTATGGCGTACTGGGAAGTATTTTAAAGAGAAAACATGAAACAGAGTGAAATTGCGCAACCCAAATATGTGCTCTCATAGGAGGTCGACCTATCGAAACCGCTTGGCCATGTCAGCCGTATAGCATAGGCCTAACAGCCAAATGAATACTCAGTAGTTCATCATATCG